TGTTCCCAATGGAACTTGCATTTGAATTAAACGGATAGAAGAAACAAAACCGTGAATTTTCCATCGATTACTCCAAAAAATACTCCGCGAATCCCAGCTGGAACCCGGTCTGAACGCGGGGCCGAGAGCCTTACAGGAGATGACCACCGGCCCCAATAAGTCATCCCCCGCCCCCGACCTTGGGGATAGACGGAGACAAGCAGCCCGGGGTACCGACAGGGAGGGGTAGGAAAGAAGGACAGCGGCCTCCAGGAAATCTCCGAGTCCCAGCCAGCAAGAGCCTGACTCTGGACGCGCGCGTTGGGCTGAGCTGGGCCCTCCAGGTGGCAGAGGGCAGGGCCAATGCCCAGGACCGAACAGGGTGGGCATCGCGGCCTTGCAGGCGGTGTAGGGCGGTCCAAGGGTCCCTGGCAGGGTCAACGAAGAGCCCAGTCTTTTTGCCGCGGGAGGGATCGGGCCTGGGCACGCGAGGGGTAGAGCTAAGAGAGACCAAGGATAAAAATACACACACACACACACACACACACACACACACACACACACACACACACACACACCAGGCGTGGTCCTGGGAAGGCAAAAGCGAAAGTACCGCAGTAGTCCCTCCTCCAGCTCACCCTTCGGACCGAGTGTCCGAGCCGATGTGCGCGAGGACGGACCTAGGACAGCTCCTCTTCCGAGAACCAAACCCCCTTCCCCGCAGGCCCGCTCCTCTTTGCCTACCTCTTCGCGCTGCCAAAACAGCCCAAGCATCACCTAAGGCGGCTGCCTCTGGACTCTAGGGGCTTTCCCTGCACGCGGTGAAAGCCTAGTTTCAACCTGGGCAACTGCCCGAGGGAAACCTGGAGCCCGAGTCTGGGAGGAGCAGAGCTCCCTCTTGGGCCGCCGGAACCTAAGTTAGCCCCGCCTGAAGGTAGGGCCTGACCTCCGGGTTCCGGCAAGAACGTGGGACCAGATCCCCTTCTCCTGTGCACATACAATCTCTGCGTCCTTAAGTGGACATTCCGAAGAGCCAAAACCCTGTGCCTGAATTCGGATAAATAATTGGATCAAATGGGGCGGGGTGGGGGGAGCGTGCAGGTAGCCGCTCCGAAGTCTAGCGCTAACTTTCCCCCAGCTCCTTTGTATGGAGAAAGCCGGAGTGAGCAGCAGTTGTCAAGCACGCTCTCCTGAATTTGGTGTGTGTGTGTGTGTGTGTGTGTGTGTGTGTGTGTGTGTAGGGGGTCGGGGTAGGATGGTCAAAGGCGAGGGGAATTCACCCCCAACGGTGAGGGCCCTTGCACAGGTCTTCCTTCCAACCGAAGAATGTCTGCTCCCTGAGCTAGGGAAAGAGTCTCTGCCAAAGGAAATGTTAAGTGGGGCCTGCCAAAGGAGGAGGAGAAAATTAATTAATGAGGGAAAGAAATGTGTTTCTGATCCAGATGATAGACTCCCTATCCCTGGGGGCGGAAATTCCTTGGAAATCAATAGCTGTGCATTCATTATCCCCCTCTTGATAAAATGCAAAGCTATGAGATGGGGGAGGGGGAAATCTGTGTTGATCATTAAACAAGAAGAAAGGTGGGGGTGGGGGGGACCTACCCTGGAATCTATGCCAAGGCTCAGACCCCATGTGGGCATCATTAGTACAGGCAGGGCCAACTAGTTACTGCACTTGCCAAACTGGGAAAACAAAGCAGTGACACATTGGTGGGCTGAGCCCTGGCCCAACACCCTTTCCTTTCACTGCCTTAGGGTAAGTTGGGAAAGGCTTGATAAGGTCTAAGGACTGTCTCTAAATCCACCAATGTGTCCCACTCTCTAGCCTGGGGCTAAGGCCCAGCAGGGATATGGCAGGATAATGCTCCAAGCATCATCCCCACCCCACCCTACCCCATATTTCTCTACAACTCCCTCACATTGCACATGTAGCACCTGTACCATAACCGCCTCTTCACCTGTAGCTGCCTCACTGTCAGAGACTGCCACCTCCTGGAGGGCAGATACCTATGTTTTATACCTTATTTTATCTCCAGTGTCCTGCCTTGGCTCAGATTGGCACTTAGCAAGCATTTGAGGAACAAAGGTAAGGTAGAAAGTAAATGAGGGAAGGATGAATAATTGACTTTGGAAAGAGAATGGTCTAAAATCTTGATTTACAGCTCTCTGAGAGGACAACACACCCCTCTGGACTGGTCTCCATCTCCATTTTAAGGGAAAAAGAGACTTCCCTCAGTGATCTTACTGCTTGTCCCTCCCCCCCTCCCACCACCACCACCATCACCATTAAACGGAGTTTGTTGAACTTGCTCTGGCTTTGCTCCTGGCCCTCCCTATCTGCCTTCTCTTCCTTCCTGTTCATGTGTATTGTTTTACGGGGCATTTTTACTCTGTGATAAGCACCTTGCTAAGCACCACAGTGGACACAGATGTGCCCTAAATGGACTTCCAATCAATTGGTTAGGGAGTGGATTGTGAATTGTACCCACAGCCCTCATACTTCTAGCCCCAGGAAAAGTGAAATATTTTGGGCAAAGGTCTGACCCCTCAAAGTAGGAAGGGATCTGATGTCCAACGAGGTCAGTTTAAGAGGGGATTCTCCTCTAGTCAGTGAATTCCTAACCTTAAGCTAGTTTCCTCCCTGCGGTGTTTTCTGGTGACCTCCAAGTGTTGGAGGGTAAAGGAAGATGAGCTTTGGTACTCTGAGGTTTGCCTTGCTCTCTGGAGGTCCACCTGGGCCCAAATCTGTGCTGTTTGCATTTCTGTCCCCCTGTACTCTTTATGATCCCTAAAGGCCAGTGTTTCCCTTGGGTGGGGACTAGTATCCCAGCACTCGCCCTCAGCTAGGCCCTTCTTTCCCCTGAGTGAGAGCTCAGGGAACTGCGTAGAAGGGTGTCAGAAAAGATTAGGTTAAGCCTGGACACCTGCAGCGACAACTACGTAGGACTCTCGCTCACTCCAGTGATGTCCTGTTCATCGTCCATTCCTCGTACAGATAAAGTTGCATTTAGCACTCCCAAAGGACCGCGTAATGGATGGAAACGCGGCTCCTCCTCGCACCAGAAAATGAACATCCCTCTTACTCCCCCCTTGGGCAGCAAGGAGAGCGGAGAACATGGGGGTGATAGAAGGGGGGCGGGTACAGAGAAAATAAAGAAAGAAAGGCCACGGTGACGCCTGTGGGCACCTCTTGGAATGTGAGTACTGAGTGGGTATGCTAAATACACAGACTATTGTTAAAAATAAATAAATAAATAAATAAATAAATAAATAAATAAATAAATGTGAACACAATTTTAGGTTTATAGAAATGAGATCTGCTCATTAGTGGAAATACAGGTCTCTTTGGTGTGGGAGGGACCAGAAAAATAATGTATCTGATCTCTGCCTCCCATAAGCAGCCCTTTTCTGCTCTCCAGCTCTCTCGCCCAGATGTAATCACATCTGGACTGTTATTATCACTGGGGCTAGCGCTGCTCACTGGGGACTCAGGCACCTGAACTATGTCCCCTGGGAAGCCCTTGATCTGCCCATCATATCAGGGCCATATAATAGGTTGGGTAATTGATTTCTTCTTCTTCTTCTTAGGTTTTGATTTTACAAAAACAAAAATAAATACTGTAAATCCTGGACCAGAACTTTCAAATTGGTTTGAATTAATATTTTAATCATGCTTTTTATAAACTGGCTTAATTCTGTCTCCTGTTGAAGAAAAAAATATATATGGCGAAGAAGCCAAAACAACGGAAGGAAAAGAAAGTTCTCTTTTTAACATCTTATTCCTTTTTCTCTGAAGTGATTTTCTTTTCTGGGAGTTTCCAGGATAAAGTGTGTGTGTGTGTGTGTGTGTGTGTGCGCGCGCGCGCGCGCGCGCACGCGCGCGGAGAAAAGGAAAGGATCCCAACTACACCCTGTTAACTATTTTTCCTTTTGTTTACTAGAAGCCTCAGATCACCAGAAGCTCGTTTGAAATGTGGGTTTGTACACAGTTAAAGGAGACAAACAATAAGAGAAATGCACAATTTCATTTTAACAGCCATTCCTGAGTAGAAAGCATACGCTCCTTGTGGCTCCTAAGTGGCTGTCACTGTTGGTGCCTGACACAGTTATATTCACACAAACAACAACAAAGTATTCAGAGGACATTAAATTATATGGAAATCAATAGTGTCTGACTGCTTCAAACAAATGTGTCACCTAGATTATTCTCCAGGAACCTATTTATAAACCTTGAAAGAAACTGGTTCTTGCAGCAAAAGACAGCATCTTCTGCATTTCTGTGTTGTTATTTATACTGTATACAGAGGAATGCGCGGGCATAATTTAACATACAAATGCCCAGCTGTATACATTATATAACAGCTTGTTAGACATCCCGGAGAAGAGGTGTACCTAAGTAATGCGCATATATTCAGGGCTTGCGCTGGGGCGGGGTTGGGAGAAGAGAGGAAACCACGGGCTGCGTGCGAACATCTCGCTTCTCTCTCCTTCAAAGGTGCCTACCGTCTCACAATAGCTGGCCCTTTTGATCTTTTCAGACCCAAGGTGGGAAAGATTTGGTGTACAGTGCGCATGTCCGATCGGCTACAGGTGCAACACCGGCGCTGTCTTTGCTGGTGGTCACTATAAGAGTGGCTCCCACGCGTCGGTCGCTGCCTGGAGAGCGCGCGCGCGCGCGCGCTGTCGCACGGCGCCGCCGAGTGGGAGAACGCGCGTCAGACAGACGAAGACAGCTGATGACTGTCAGCGCGGCGGGGCCGCGAGCTCTCGCGAGAGCTCCCCGGGCCGGCCGCGAGAAGTGGGGCTCAGGTGTAAGAGGAGTGCATCCCGTCCGCGCGCCGGGCTAGAGCTCTTGGAGAAGTGGGATCGGTGCGCGGCGCTCTGCGTGGTCAAAGGAAGCGCCAGGCGGCAGCGCGGCAGCAGGAGCAGCAGCAGCCCCCCGCGCGGCCGCCGCCTCCGCGCCTCCAGCCGCCGCGGCTTTAGCCTCCGAAGGGAGGCCGGGGGAACCGGCGTGCGCACTTTCCCGCGGACTTTCGGAGTGTTTGTGGATTTACATGCCAAACCGTCAAGATGATGTCCATGAACAGCAAGCAGCCTCACTTTGCCATGCATCCCACCCTCCCTGAGCACAAGTACCCATCGCTGCACTCCAGTTCCGAGGCCATACGGCGGGCCTGCCTGCCCACGCCCCCGGTAAGCGTCCCACGCCCGTGGTCCCGGCCCGCGCACCCGTCCCCAACCCGTCTCCGAGACGCTGCATGTCGGGTGCTGGTGTGTGCAAAGGTCCCGGTGCGGGGATTTGCGGGCAGGGGTTTTTAGAGAAATGCCGCTGCTTGGCACAATTTTGTACAGTGGCACTTAATGTCGTGTTCCTGTCGCCCCAGCCTCCGTGTCGGGCGCCTGCGATCAGAGTGGGGATCGGTGGGGCCATAACTCTCGACTTTGCTCCACTTTCTCTGTTAATTTCATGCCTCGGAAAGGCGATCTCTGCGTGTTCGGTGCGCGACACGGGTCCCCAGCTGCGAGTTACATCTCCGTTTCTTCTTCTTCCTCCCCCCCCCCCCACCTTCCTTTTTGGTCTTACACGCTCGTTCCCGCAATGTGTTCCGTGTTCCCCTCTCCCTACATCTGTTCTCCTCCCCACACTTCCGATCCTTCTCCTCTGTTCCCCGTCTCATCCCCAACGTGTTCCCATTCCGTCTTTCCCGGTCTCCACTATCCCCACTCCCTGTTGTTGTTATTTTGGTTGCTTTGTGTTTGTTCTTTGCTTGTTATGCTTTCCGGTTTGTGTGTGGTTTTGTTTTGTTTTGTGTTTTGCTTTTTTGGTTTTGTGGTGTTTTTGGTTTGGTTTGTGTCGCCTGCAGCTGCAGAGCAACCTCTTCGCCAGCCTAGACGAAACGCTGCTGGCGCGGGCCGAGGCGCTGGCGGCTGTGGACATCGCCGTGTCCCAGGGCAAGAGCCACCCGTTCAAGCCGGACGCCACGTACCACACGATGAACAGTGTGCCATGCACGTCCACGTCCACCGTGCCGCTAGCACACCACCACCACCACCACCATCATCACCAAGCGCTCGAGCCAGGCGACCTGCTAGACCACATCTCCTCCCCCTCGCTTGCGCTCATGGCTGGCGCGGGCTCTGCGGGCTCTGCGGGCGGCGGTGGTGGCGCTCACGACGGTCCGGGGGGCGGCGGCGGCCCTGGGGGTGGCGGCCCAGGCGGCGGCGGCCCCGGTGGTGGCGGCGGCGGCGGCCCAGGGGGAGGAGGCGGCGGCCCGGGCGGCGGGCTGTTGGGCGGCTCCGCGCACCCGCATCCGCACATGCACGGCCTGGGCCACCTGTCGCACCCGGCGGCTGCGGCCGCCATGAACATGCCGTCGGGGCTGCCGCACCCCGGGCTGGTGGCGGCGGCGGCGCACCACGGCGCGGCGGCGGCGGCGGCGGCGGCGGCGGCGGGGCAGGTGGCAGCTGCGTCGGCGGCCGCCGCCGTGGTGGGCGCGGCCGGCCTGGCGTCCATCTGCGACTCGGACACGGACCCACGCGAGCTCGAGGCGTTTGCCGAGCGTTTCAAGCAGCGGCGCATCAAGCTGGGTGTGACGCAGGCCGACGTGGGTTCGGCTCTGGCCAACCTCAAGATCCCTGGCGTGGGCTCACTCAGCCAGAGCACCATCTGCAGGTTCGAGTCGCTCACGCTCTCTCACAACAACATGATTGCGCTCAAGCCCATCCTGCAGGCGTGGCTCGAGGAGGCCGAGGGTGCGCAGCGCGAGAAAATGAACAAGCCCGAGCTCTTCAACGGAGGCGAGAAGAAGCGCAAGCGGACTTCCATTGCGGCGCCCGAGAAGCGCTCCCTGGAGGCCTACTTCGCAGTACAACCACGGCCCTCGTCGGAGAAGATCGCCGCCATCGCCGAGAAACTGGACCTCAAAAAGAACGTGGTGCGGGTGTGGTTTTGCAACCAGAGACAGAAGCAGAAGCGGATGAAATTCTCTGCCACTTACTGAGGGGGGTGGGAGGTGGCAGTGGGGCAGAGCAGGAGCTGAACGGGCCTTCCGGGGGGCTTTTCTCTGGCCTGCTTCCCTCCGGATTTAGAGTGTCCGATATCCTGCTTGCATTTGGGAAATCCCTCCTCCAGCTCTCTTCTTCATCCCCTTTCTGCTCTCTCTGCCCTCATCCACCCCCAGGTGCTGGGTGTGGAGTTCGGAGAGGGAGCATTTGGGTGAGCAGGTAGCGGAGGGGAAGGAAATTGGAGACTGGAGGAGGGGTTTTGAGGAGCAGGATGGTTCAGGGGGTTAGGGTGGGGGGAGACTCGGGAAGGGTAGGAAAATGGACTGTTTTGGACCAGAGACATTTATCAAAATCTCCTGGGGACCAAGGAACTATGTACACAAACAAATCTACCAACCACCAAAAACTAAACAAATAAAAACAAACTAAAACAAAACAACAAAAGCAAATAAAATATGCTTTAGAAATTTAACTCCAGGGAGCCGTATTCTGCAGCTTCATTCCCCCCTAAGGAAGAGAAAAAAGAGCACCACCATTATTACCACTGACCCAATCCTACACACATGAACTGAAAAACGAAAACCAAATGAACTGGAAGGTGAGATTCTGGGTAGTGAAGCTAGTTGTTCTGTGTGTTTAATTTAATTTTTCCCTCTCAGTCTCACCTCTACCCCATCCATGTCCTCTTTGATTATTTTCTGCGTTCCAAAGAGACTCCATGGCTGCTCTCCATTGCCAGCAAGTGAGGGGGGAAACAGCTGAAAGGGTATTGGGGTGTGTGACTGCTTGTTTAGGTGGAGCCCAAGTTTTCCACTGACTTGGCCTATATTCCTGTGGCCTGGGGGTGTTTAGGGAGAGAGGGGTAGTATTTGAGCTGACTATAAGGCATAAGTTATGGAGCTCCAAAAGAAATATTTTATTCTAGGAGAATAAAACAATTTTAACAAGGTTTTTTTCCTTTTCATTTTTGCTCTTATATCTAAGATCTAGAAACAGACTGTTTCAAAATCAGCTCCCCCCACACCCATCCATAGAATTTGCTTGTCCTTTCATTTATTTTTCTGAGTGTGGTTTATTTTAAACCACCTACTGAATTTTATTTCCTATTGATTCAAATAGACTGCTGGGATGGAAGACACTATGAGAGATACTCTGTCCCTTTTACTCTACAGAACAAGACTCATCTAGCTCTTCTAGGTCCCCTTTCCTTCTCTCTTGGAAAACATGAAATGGTTGAAATATTGAGAAGTTTCTGCTTTCAATTGGAGCAGGACTTGGCTGTGAGGAAAATCAACTAAATCCCAAATGAGAGGAAGACCGATTTAAAGTCCTCCATTTATTTCAAAAGGGTCTGCATGTTGGGGGGGGCGGGGAGCAGAACAACTGTGTTTCATTATTATTATTATTATTATTCAAAAATAATTTATTGCTGGGGATAAATGTTGGGTAGCAAGAACTTTAATTTGCACTACCAGTCTCCCAAATAGAAAACCATGTATAGTATTTCATAGTTATAATCAAGGTACTTTATGAACTGCTGATGGATTAAAAAATGAGAAAGACAGTTGAAGGTGGTAAGGTGAAATGCTTGCTTGGTGTACAAGATACTCTTTTGATCTCATGTGGGGATGGTTTGTTACCACCCTTTAATAAGAACTAAAAAATTGAAAACAGATAAGAAAAAAAAAAAAATACCCTGCCATTTAACAAGACTGAAATCATGCATGATCTGAAGAGTGCCGAAAGAAACACAATTAGGTCTCACTCTGGTTAGGCATTATTTATTTAATTACATTGTATATCATTGTTTGCAGCGCAAACATTCTATGCATTTGAAACTGAGCACTAAACTGGGCTAGCTTTCTGATAGACCGTTTTGTGGATAGTGTGATTTCACAGTCTACTGCCTGTTTTCACCAAAAACACAGCATTCTTGTCATATTCTTGTATTTAGAGGAAAAGGAAAATTATTGTAAATATTTTCTTTAATACACACACTCACACAGTGGTTACAGGCTGCCAGTGTTATTCCTGAAATGTCTCATGGATTGATCTACATGTCCATGTATGTCTGCTGAGCTTTCCCCTTGGTTATGTCTTTGCTCTATTACCGTCCCGTCCCCCCCCCCCCCCCCACTTCTATCAGAACCATTTCTGTGCGCCAAAATTCAACAGAGGGATGTGTCCCAGTACAGTTACAAATAAAACATAACTGAAAGAAGAGCAGTTTTATTATTTGGGTGCATTTTTGTGTCTATACTAGGCCAAGTCCTGGTAGAGTTGGTCAGCAAATGAGACTCAATTCAACCAAAAATACAGGGGAGGATGTTAAAAGGGAGATGAAAAGAGGGGGAAAGGGTGAGAATGATGTATTTTTCTGCTGAATCAGAATTCACTTTCAGACAACTCATGTGAAAAATGGTGCTCTGAATAAAATGAATTCTATATTAGTTGCCTGTAATTATCAAAGTTTTTTTTTTTTTTTAACTACAGAAATTTTTAAACCACAGCCTTCACTTCAGAGTGGTAGAAACTAATAAATAACCAGTCACTTCCAAAATATTTAAATCAAGATTCAGGAACAGAGGCATTTGGAGGTTTATGTTTTGTTCTAGTCTAAAAATGTTGCTTTAAAAATGTTGTAATTAAATGACTTTTCTTGGAAGTTAATAAATATAAAAACCATCCACTAACCTGTCCCATTCCCATGACAAATGCCTCTGTTCATTTGGAACATTTAATGTGCTACCTACTGCTCCAGAGGAACCAGAGATTATTTTATTTTTTGGTGACCTGGGACTAGATCAGATGCCAAATGTACAAAGTTTCTTATTATCTGGGATTATATCTTCTAAAGTCATCCTACTTTAGCCAAATCTTTTTAATTTCACCGGCAAATCTGTGAAACAAAACACTTGATGTTCAAAAAAGAATAGTACATTTTAAAAGGTGTGATTTTAAAGTTGTTAATGTTTAAAAAAAAAGCACTTAGAGGTATTTTTAAAAATAGATCTCTTCCATCAAAATAGAGTTTTTTTGTTGTTATTGACTTGAAATGTCATCAAAGTTTTTAATAAAATGCATTTGTAAAAAAAAAAAAAAAAAAACAGAACCACATTATTTTATAGAAAAGTATGACCGATCTCATTGTTGGAGAACCAGGAATGAACAGATGAAAAGATTTACAAAGGCTGCTTTAAAAAAAAAGAAAAGAAAATCTGCCCCAAACGAAATGTTGCAAATACATTTGTATTATATAACAATGACCAATGTATGTAATAAGAACTTAAGCATTTGTTTTGTATGAAGTAATACCCTTACCAAATAAAATACAATATTATGTTAATAAAACAGATTATGAAAATACATGCTTTGCAGAGTTTCCTATTTTCTGTAGTAGGAAACTGTGCAAAACAAGATATGCTTTGCTATCTGATGAGTGAATCTGTGTATCGCGGGCAGGAATAATAAGACTATTCTAAGGCAACTTTAACTGTCAGTTGGTGAAGAAAGAAACAGACAATTAAACAAGCAAACAAATGTCCTCCTGGAGAAAATGTTAAGGCTTGCCACTCAGCAGTAGTTGGCCTTTTAAAGTTTTCTGGTTCTAAAGAGCAGAATTTTACTCTAAGCGGATTCAAAGCACCAGTCAGTAGGTGGAAATACTAAGATATGTGGCTCAGATTCTTTTAAAGAACAACCTCAAAATAAGATGGAGAGTATGGGAAATTGTTCTCGGTTTGCATTTCAGCTTCTCGGGAAAGCCAGGCGGTGGTGGAGTAGGAAAGGCAAAAGAAAGGTATGCATAAAATGCACCTGCCACGTTCGTGCCATCCATTCGTTTTATATTTTCTCTCTTCTCCAGGCCTAGCCCCAGGTCCTGCTCCTTCTGTAAGTCTAAGAAATGATGTCCTCAAGACACATCAACTACTTCTGAATAGATTTTTGTTTAATTTGTGTTCTGAAGTTGCTTTCAATTTCTATTTCACTCTCATAAATAAACCGTAGGCACCCACTGCCGTGATTGTATCGATTTTTACTTTCTTGTGAAAAACTATTTGGGCCCCTTCTAGCTAGGGCAGGCCGAAGCTCCTACAAGTGGCCACGCCTCACCCCAGGACTCACCTGACCAGCTCCTGCCTTTGTCCCCAGGCTCTGTTCCCCTGGCTTCTCCCGCCAACCCTGCAGTGAAGCATTCTTGCTCCATTTTTCACATGAACGATCCCTTCTAGTCTAGTCCGTGAAGTTGGAATTGTGACTTATGACATTGGCTAAAAGCAGCGTTCCCCACTCCATTCAAAGGGCCTTGGTGGCCAACGGGATGATAAAGGTAATGATAACAATTATTATCTTGGTATGTTCTGCTTATCGGTGTTATTGCCGCAGCAGTCTTAGCCCCACGATCAGTACTCGCGGGCGATTTCAAAAGAGACCGAAAGGTTGATTTAAAAAAAAAAAAATAGCAGTCAAATTCTAATTCTCACGGGAGGTGGGTACTCTTTCCACCTGCGAGATAAGCCTTGTCTCAATAATTACATTATTTAATATTTGATCAAACCACGCCACCGCGGCTGGCGGCGCGGGGCTGGCTCAGTCCTTCGGGGCCGCGGGCGAGCCGCGCGCCCGAGCCGGGCCGGGAACTTGAGGCGGGGGCGCGCGGCCGCACCGCTCGCGCTGGCTTGCCCTTTGAATAATTCATGGCCTGAGACTTCTTCAAAGTAATATAATGAATGATAACAAGAAGTTAATTAAAAACTTTCCTAATTGTTTCCAAGTAAGCTTGACAGGGGACAGGCAGCCCTCCCTCGTGCCCTCCCCGAAATCTGGTGGACGCACAGGGCTGAGCTGGTGCCGGGAAGGGCCTAGAAACTCGAGCGGCCAAGCGCTCCTCGGACTCCGGCAGCTGTTTCGAAGGCAGCCTCGTGGGGCTGCTGCTTTCCCTCCAGCCGCTGCCATCTGCAGATCGCTCGTCTCCCCAACGTGACTTTGGACTTTGGGGCTGGTGGGTTGGCGGGTGCCTTTTCAAACCACAGACAGAGCTGATTGGGTCAGAATTTGCAGCCAGGAGGGGACCCGCCCTCCCTCAACCCATGCTGGGTGCTCGCTCTGCCATGGGAACACCCACCCACTCGGGACCGTCCACTCGGGGAATCCCAGCTCCCCAAGAGCCTGAGCCTTGGCCAAGCGACAGCGTAGTGCTCAGTTTGCGCCCCTCCGCCGCGGCCCGGAGACTT